GCTATTATCTAGGGTGGCACTTTTATCTAAGGTGGCGCTATTATCTAGGGTGGTGCTGTTATCTAGGGTGGCACTGTTGAGCCACTTTTTCACACCTACTTCTTTAACCGTAAAATATATAAATGTTTGCCAGTTTTATTGTGGGCAAATCTAAACCAGTTTTAGGGTGTGGTTAGGTTTTCAAAGCGATTATTCATTTGGCCGAAGAAAAGTTATAAACGCCACAGTCACAACAGGAGGAGCGAAGGCCTACATATACATTTCTGTGTGTTTCTAAAGAATGACCTTTCACTGAAGGATCAGTGAGTGAGCTGTTGTTTTTGTTTGAGGTTGGACCTGCAGTGAAATGAAGCAGATGGTCTCTAAGCGAAGTGTTAAATTCTTGAGGGGTCTCCCACGTCACAGATTATCCAGTGTGATGAGAGTTGCACACCTGAGGCACACACCTCTGCATTCTCACTACACTGCATGTGTTTTTATTCCTCAGAAACCCATTAATATTTATATATCTACACCTCCTTTAAGTATTTTACATCTGCTGCCAAGGTTTATTGTATTCATTCAACCTAATTTAAGGCATGTGTCTTTAGAGTGTGTGACTGTTGCCCTGAGCAGCAGCTTGTGTGTGTTATCCTGCGCTGCAGATGGAAGGTTCTCTAATTCCACCAGATAAGATTAAGACCGGAGCAAACGTGACAGGGCGACACTCGTGTCTTTCTTCTTCACCTGCATTTCTCTGCTTTTCTCCTAGCCTCCTTCTGTCTGTTGATCGCATTCACCGTTTCCTGCTTGACACAGAAACGCCACTCAAAGTGCGTGGGTTTGTGATTTTGTGAGTTGAGAACACGGAACGGGGAGTTATTGCAACAGCCAGGACACTCAGTTGGTTAATAAGTTAATTTAATGACAAAGTGCACTGATCGATGCGAGGAGGTTTTCTGTTTCGTTGGTATAATTTCCATTTAAACGTATTAATAATAGGACAAGCAGGCAGTCAGATCTGTTCCTCCCATTGTTATTAGCACAAAAAATAAGAGCGATGTCGTCTTTTTAGTTTTATATTCCTCACACATCAACGTCTATATCCGGTTAAAGTTTTTGTGGCAATCATTTTATAAGATATGGCAATATTTACAAAGTTTTGTTGAGCGTATCAGAAGTTATGGCCCAGACAAGAGAAAGTTTATGGTCGGGCAGATGGAGAATAACTCGTAATACGTCCATTGTTGGAGGGGCGTATAATAATGTTCTTCTTCTTTCGGCTGTTCCCTTCCTCGGGTCGCCACAGCGAACTAACCCGCACAAAGACTTGCCGATTGTTTTTATGCCAGATGTTCTTCCTGATGCAACCACAGACCACCGAGCTACCACAGCGTTTTGTGTGGAGCAGAGGGCTGCCATCTTGGGCGCCCGGAGGAGCTGCTGGTGGGGGTTAACTGTCTTGCTAAAGGGCCCAGAGTGGAGCAAATGAGGGTGGAGGCAGGTGTGGGTGCTTCACCTTTCCCACCCACATTTTGATGTTGTCAGTCTGGGAGGTTGAACCGGCGACCTTCCAGTCACAGGCTCGCCTTTTCTAACCTCTGCACCACTGCTCCTCATTTGAGAATCGTATAATAATAATAATAAATGTTTATAATAATAGCATTAATTATAAAAAAAAAAAAAAAAAGGAAATTAGACGCTGGCCAAGCTTTTAAGTCTCACCAAATGTTAGCAAAATTTCCTCAGATTTGACCCCGTTGTAGCCATTTCATTGTCTGCTGATGTAAGTTAGCAGCAACGGCTGTCTTGAATCAGGTGGACTCCAAAAGCTTATCAGCTGCAGACGTACAACCGGTGATCCCTTCCTGAAAGATTCACCAACACCCTGTAAATGGTTCATGAAATATTTTGCCAACAGACAAATGTAACTGAGTCCAATAGTGCGCAGCAAAGTTGTAAAAATACGCGTCAGAAAATTGTACATGTCGGCGCTACATCTCAGCTACTGACACGCTGAATTTTAGCTCTGTGGCATTTACTGGGTTACAGCTAGTTTCGTGTTCATCACCGTCGTTTAGTTGCGGCAGCCATCTTAAACTGGAGCGACTCTAAAAGTTAAATCAGTTGTACACATATGTCCAGTGATTGCTTCCGGAAAGTTTAATAAAAAAATCATCGTGTGGTGCGTGAGATATTTTACTGACAAACAGATATAAGTAAAAGCATTGTAGCCTCTAACCTTAGAGAGCCGACAGTAATTAACATTCAATTCAAATCAGTTTATTTATTTAAATAGTGCCAAGTCACAAGAGAAGTCATCTCAGGGCACTGAACAGAAACATTCATAATTAAAAATAATAATTTAACATTAATTATCTGAGGAGCAGACTGCTTTGAGTTTAACTCCATTGCATAAACTCTCATCTTGAGCAAGCACGAAGGCGACAGTGGAAAGGAAAAACTCCCTCATGAGGAAGAAACCTTTAGCAGAACCAGACTCAGGACAAGCGTCCATCTGCTTTGACCAGCTGGGTTTGAGAGGACCAGATACACAATGGCAGGTCAAGAATCACATGTTAAGATAGAAATAGTATCAAATGAAAACTATTCAATTTTAACAATTCATTATAAGAAATGTGATCAATTTGTCCTAGGTAGTCTAAGCCTATAGCAGCATAAGAAGCCAACCCTAGCTATAGGATTTATCAAAAAGGAAAGTCTTAATCCCAGTCTTAAAACTGGACAATGTGTCAGTCTCACAGACAGAAACTGGAAGTTGGTTCCACAAGAGAGGAGCCTGATAACTGGAAGATCCTCCTCCCATTCTGCTTTTGGAAACTCTAGGAGCCGCGAGTAAGCCTGCAGTCTGAGAGCTAAGTGCTCTGTTAGGAAACTATGGGACGATAAGATCTGTAATATAAGATGGAGCTAGGTTGTTGAGGGCTTTGTAGGTTAGAAGTAAGATTTTGAATTCAACTCTGAATTTGACAGGGAGCCAATGGAGAGAACATATAACCTATAATCAATCGATCACTGTTTCTAGGTGTCATTGTTTTGTTGAGGTCCAGTATTTAGTCGTACTCGTGACTGACAGCCCGTTTGACAGGCTGGATGTGTGACGCGATCAGTGACAGGTAATCCCCACCACACACCCACGGCAGCCAATCAGTGGCCTCCAACCAGAGATGGGTCAACAGATGGGAACAGGCGGCTTAGCCCTTTAAAAACAGGATGGAGAGGTGACTCCGGCTCAGAAGCAGAGGCACGGAGGTGTTGAAAAGCAGGTGGAATGAAAAGCAAGAGGGTTTAGTTGCTGGGAGATCTGGACTTGTTTCTGCTGTCTTCGGTTGTTTGGAGCGACAACAATGACGGTTATCAAAAGAGGCCGACCGTGAGTAATCACCTCTGGTGACCAGCTGCTTGTGCTTAGTCTTACATTTTTACTATCCCAGTTTGAAAGGTTTCTATGGCGGTTGAACGTGTGGATTCATTCACAGCATTTATGGAATCTACGAAGTAACTGAAACATGAATCTGGATCAAAAAGAAACTGATTTGTCTGGTTCTGAGTCGAACCTTTAAAATGAATATCCTGATGCATGCTTGATAATCCAGGTAGATTCATCTAACAAGGTTAGACTGAAGAAGTCTTTTGGATAAAAGACGAAACGTTTCAACAAGAAGAATCCGTCCAGAGGACCCGACTTAACCTTGTTTGATTTAAAATGATTGTTTCACTTGGAAAAGGTGGATTTTTGTTTTTATTTAGTGTTGAGCCGTTAATGCTCTTGCGTTTCTGTACGAAAGCGGTCATTTTTGTCAAATAACGACAGAACAGCGCATTTTAATGTTCTTCGGTAACGACGGCGTCCGTTGGGTTTGAATGAGTTGAATTGAGTGAGCGGCAAAACGTCGTCTTGAGACCAAAAAAAGAGTCCAGTCATCTTTAAAAAAGAAACATTTAAGATTTGCTTTTTTTGCAATGTGTTGGCCAAATGTTTGGTGTTGCCATGGAAGCCTTGAACAGTTGGAAGTTTTCTCGGTATAATATATGTCAAGTCAGACCGGACCACACGACTCAACAAAAGCCTCTTAACCCAGTGACGTGGATTGAACTAGAGTCCATCACCTGCTGTGGTCACCTGTGTGGCATTCCACCTGTTTACACGTGACTCATCAGATTTAGCGCCGTCAGTCTGGGCTGAAGTGTCTGGGTCAATCTGGTAATTTCAGTCGGTGTATCATCAATGCGGAAACTAATACGAAATTTGTTTGTGTGTCTCAGAGTGCCAACGGTTCCCGTTAAGAACCTGAATGGATCTAGTCCTGTACACCCCGCCCTGGCAGGTAAACATATACTGACTGCTGAGTCCTTTGTTGAAACACTAGATCGACCCCCCCTGCTGCCTTTAGATCAAAAGGTCGTATCAAAAGGTCTTGCGAGCCATTTTGACCTACTGGCAAAAGGTTGAAAAGCCACCGCAAATTATCCCAGGATGAGTAAAGATGCAAATGTGGAACAGTGTGTCATTGTTCTCCCTCCGCTGGCTGTCCTCAGGCATCACGGGCATCCTGATGAGCGCAGCAGGACTTCCTGTCTGCTTGACCCGGCCTCCGAAGCTGGTGCTTCATCCTCCGCCTGTCAGCAAGAGCGACATCAAACCTGTGCCCGGCCTGGGCCACTGCTGTCGCAAGACCACAAAGAAACAAGCCCGGAAAGGTGGGTTAGTGCTCGCTGCCAGACAAACCAATGGGTCTTCTGTTCATTGGATAGTGGGAATTACGAAATGGTATTTTTTATGTTAACCAGTATTAATATTGGGAGGGTGGCTTGAAACACAGCAATGAAGGCTACCTATGGGACAGATCTGGTTGGCAGGCCGCAGACTGACCAAGTCTTCCGGATGGGAGACAAAACATTTCTCACTTAAAGAAACTGGTCCTGATGACATAATTTAAACTTTTTCGTTGTCATTATTAATACTATTATTTCTTATTTCTCAGGCAAGACACCTGAGGAAGTGGTGAAGCGTTATCTTCAGAAAGTTCGTAACCCTCCAGAGGAGGTGAGTTCACCTTTTAGAGTAATTCTAAAATCAATTTGTGTGTGAATAATTTTTTTAAAAATTAATATATATATATATATATATATATATATATATATATATATCTTTAGACATTTTTGTTTGTGTGTATGTGAACCAACAAACTATTTTATTGACTTGGTTATTCAAAAACCAAAAATCCCAAATTGTTAAACCTCTTAACTCTGAGTCTTTCAGGCATAATGTGTCTGCCAAACAAAAAGGATGGACAAGTGTTGCATTAACACATAAGAGACAATTAGCAAAAATCTTTTTTTTTAAATTGGTTCTTTAGCCAGTAACAAGCTAAAGTGCCAACTAGATACATAGCTAGTAACTCGCTAGCTAAAAAAAGTTACTAGCTGTCTGTCACAAAGACATAATTTGTTCCCCTTTCTTTAGATTAATGCATGTATGACTCATAAAATACTTCCCCAGTCTTTCTGGTCTTTCAACTCGAGGACTGGACCAGTGTTGTGTCATCAAAAACATAAATAAATCAAATAAAAAAACGTTAACAACTAGCTAATGCACTAGCTAATTGCTAGCTAGCAAACATATTTTTAAACCAAATGCTAAGCTAGCAAATAGCTAATGTACTTGCTAACTAGTAACTGTTACAATCTGTTTGTCACAAAAACACAATTTGCTGTCTTTGTTACTTTTTTTTTTTAGTTTTGACGGACAGAAAATAGTACTTTAGCGCCGACAGCGATTACAGAAAAGTTGCTAGCTAAACAAAATTAGCATTGTTAGACGTAGCTGATCAGCTGACATCTCTCGGAATATGTTTCAAGTCTTACGTTTCTGTTTCTTAAAGATGATTTTCAGATGTTGTTCATCTGATGTAAATAGTTTGATATTTATTTTATTTTTTTTGTCTTGTCTTGACGCTTCTTTTGTCCTTCAGCTGTTTACTTTCATGTTGTTTTAAGCACAAACTGTACAAAATGCTGTCAGGTCCAAGGACTAGAAGGAAATGGTAGAAAAGACAACATGAGTAAAAATTATTTAAAAAGAAAAGAGAAAAATATTGGAAGACCTTCAGAAAACCTCAAGAAATACTTTTGCACTGTATTATAAATCTAGCCAAATTTCTGTAAGCTGAAAAAGAAGCAAAAGACATGTTTAAATTTCTTTTAAAGATATTTTTAATGTCCATGTTGATCATACAAAATATAATAAAAATTAGCTTTCACCACAAGGCCACAAGGTCAAGGCCTTCATTAGTGGAAGCAGGTTGGTCTCATGAATAATAAACATTAGTCAGTGAAGCGCTGATAAACTCTAGAAAAAAACGTAGCCTACTGATAAGTGCCATAAGATGCTGTTCAAAGCCAGTTAAAAAACAAGTAAATGGCAAAAACCAAGCTTGAACTCATCTTCCCATTTCAGGACTGCACCATCTGCATGGAGGCGCTGTCTGGACCGTCGGGCTACAAGGGTCCTGGCGTAGGCGGCATCTCCCGGGCTGAATCGGTGGGCCGCCTGGCGCAGTGTGGTCACCAGTACCACCTCCAGTGCCTCGTCGCCATGTACAACAATGGCAACAAGGACGGCAGCCTGCAGTGTCCCACCTGCAAAACCATTTACGGAGTCAAGACTGGCAATCAGCCCCCCGGCAAGATGGAGTACCACGTCATCCCTCACTCTCTGCCGGGTCATCCCGACTGCAAAACCATCCGGATCATCTACAACATCCCTCCTGGCATCCAGGTTAGTGGTTCTAGGACACTTAAGTTCATATCAATATTAAGAAAGGTCTTATCATCCTAACACGCTCAATCAAAGGCAACTGGAGTTGAGAAAGCTCCTCATGTGAGAAGTGAAATATCCTAAAACAATGAAGTCTTTCCATCCATTATCTTCCACTTGTTTTGACGTCGTCTCAGGGGTAGCAGCTTGAGCGGGGAGGTCCAGACATCTCTTTCCGCAGCCACCTCTTCCAGCTCTTCTGGGAGGATTTCAAAGCATTCCCAGACCAGCCGAGGGACATAGTCTCACTAGCGAGTCCTGGGTCTTCCTCAGGCTCTCCCTAGGTAGGCATCTAGGGGGCATCCTTACCAGATACCCCCTGGCATGCCCCCACCTACTCTGATAATTGCTTGGTTATCCGATAGAGCAGTCCAGTTGCTTTCACTTGAGCTTGCTAGGATCATGACACCTTGGATGAGAATTTACACCACCAAGAGGCGTGACTGCACTTGTGTGCTTTGGAACTGATTGAACCCATGCCTTGTAGGGTCCTGAGCACCCAAATCCAGGAAAACCGTTCACCGCACGTGGGTTTCCCAGACACTGCTACCTTCCTGACAGCGAGAAGGGGCGCAAGGTACTTAAAGAAACGTACATCTTGTTTAATTTAACGACTAGCACGATAATTCCCAAATGACATATTTTAACTAATTCTCTCAGGTCCTGAGGCTGCTTCTGGTGGCGTGGGACCGCAGGCTCATCTTCTCCGTGGGTACGTCCAGCACTACCGGCGAATCCGACACGGTCATCTGGAACGAGGTGCACCACAAGACCGAGTTCGGCTCCAACCTCACGGGCCACGGCTACCCCGACCTGGGCCACTTGGACAACGTTCTCGAGGAGCTGAGGGCCCAGGGGATCACCGAGGAGGAGTGTCTACCCAGAGAATGAGCGGAGACGTTTTGCCGGCCCCACGAGGGGAGAGAAGAACCTTCGGACAAAGAAAAGAGAGGGGGAGAACCCTGAAGGCAGAACTGTCGCCAAATTTGTGTCAGCTTCGTCTGACTGCACGAGACAGTTCTGTGAGACATTTGAGGTCACTGTGCTCGTACGAGTTGATGTTAGTTTAAAAAAGATCTGCCATTGTACACGGAGAAACTTGATAACAGAGACTAGACCAGAATGTATTTGATCTTTTTAGTAAATATGACGTGTTTGTTGTTGCTGCTGCTAAGTGGGCCCAAGGGAAATGAAAGGTGGTATTTTTACGTGGACCTGAGGATGTGTGGGGGGTTGCAAACAAAGAAACGTGTTTTTCAACTTTTATTTTTCAAGCAGAGCATCCTTTTAACTACAACGAACTGCAAACCTGAGCATGGATATCTGCTGCCCTCTAGTGGGACCTTTTGAAAACTACATCACTTTTTAGGTTTGGTTTTTAAATCTTGTATATTCTATAAATACTTGATATATGGTATTATTGCGTTCATTCATGTTTTTACATTTGAATGTTGAATTTTGTTTTATATGGAGTATTTCATTGTATATTTTTATTTTTTTTCCTTTTTGAAGACCAAAAGAGACAGTTTAAATAATCTGCCTGTCACTTTATATGTTTTCTTTATGTATGGCCATTTTCAAAGTATTCTGTTTCTTAAGCTCACAAACGGACAAATATCCGGTCATTTACCACCCCATGAGTTTTCTGTCTTCTTGGAGCAGCGGAAATGTTCAAGTCCGGTAGAGGATCGAGGGGTAAAACCCCTCCAGGAGGAGCAAATTCTCCAAAAAGCTAGGATTAGACCCCCCAGTCTGAGCTCAGATTTGCACAGTGCTTTCTGCTTAGCATCGTAAAGATAACCAAGGCAAACGTGGAACTGTTGTAATTTTATGTAGGGCAGACACCAGCCTCAAATCGCTCTGCAGAATGTGGTTATTGCTTGTTTGTGTGTGTGTGTGTGTGTGTGTGTGTGATTTTTCACCATGAACAGGTGCAAAAGACTGACACAGTCTGGGTGGAGTTGTGGCCGCAGTCCGTTTGCGTTCACTTCACTGTGAACTGATTTTAAAGCAAGGAATGTTTCTGAGTGAGATGAAATCGTGAGTGAGGGACGCACTAACATAGATCAACATTTATTTACATTTATACGTCATGATACTTTGTGTATGTGTGTGTGTGTGAACAAATTTGAATTAAACATTTTTTTAAGGTTCAACGAGAAATCGGAAGCCTCGCCTTGTTCAATCTTGTATTTTATTTTATTTTTGTTACTGTTTATGTAAAAGTAGTCCCTCACTTATCGTGGGGGTTGCGTTCCAGACACCCCCGCGATACGTGAAAATCCACAAAGTAGGGATGTTATATTTATTTTAGTATTTGTATATATTTTAAGGCTTTATAAACCCCTCCCTCGCTCGTGCAATGTTCTTAACAATGTTCTAAACTCTTAAACCTACGTAATATTAACAGCATATGTATATGTACTGTACAGTACTGCAAAATGTTATATGGGTACTCACCAGTGAAGATACAACTCGAAGGATGAGTTCAGGTTTATTTGTAACTTTCCTGCCAGTTCTGTGATCTTAATAGATAGATCGTTACTTTTGACTTTGCGTTGCAAAACTATTTTTACCATATTGGTTTCTCCACTCCCTCCATTGCTGTTCTTTGAATTTCGGCAGACGGCAGCATCCGGAAGCACTGTTGCCTTCTGGGCCGTGTAGTTCTTTTGACTTGTGTTACAGTGTAGGCTTACTGAAAGAAAACTACAAAATGACGGCACCTGTCTGAAGTTTTTTTAATTTATTTATTTGTTTTGTTTTTTGTCCTATTGGTTGGCTCCCGCTCCCGTTAACTTTTTATCCCGTACCGTCCCAATCACGTGATTAATATTAAAATTGACAATCGTGTACAATGTTATGTTGAAAACCCGCAAAAGAGGGAATCCGCGAAAGTTGAACCGCAAAGTATTGCTGTACTACTTATTCAAGCCTAGTGGGTCACAGAGTCAGGGTTTGGACAACACTTGGTCATAAAACACCAAGTGATGGGGTTCTTCAAAATAAAAATAAAAAACGGCATCACATGGAAATTTAATAATGTCTAATTAATGTCGGTTGTGGTGAAGAATGATTTGAGTCTCAAGGCAAAGCTCTCCATCCCTCACCTGGATTTCTCACCTGGACCTGTTCCCTCCGAGATCTGACTACAAATAAGCAGAACAAGATGGAGGTGAGCATGTTTAATTGCATAGTTTCCCATATTTAAACAAAATAACAGAAGTTATAATGATTGTTGGACAGTTTTTGTAGCTCTTTTCTAATTGACCTAGGTAGCAGAGATACCCTGACAAGTGTAAGACCAGTATAAGTTACACTAACAAGAATGTTTGCGTAACTGTATTTGCCTGAACCTCTTTCACATTTTACTCCTTGTCATCATAGTACCAGTAATCACCAGTGGCGGCTCCAGAGCACCACGTCCACCCCCCATTAGAAACAAGGATAATGTGACCGCTTCAGTGCAAGACTAAATTAATTAAGTCCACACGACGGTCTGATACATGGGAGAGGTGGTGGATTGTAGAACATTTGCCCTCAAAATTGTTTGGATCTTCAAACGTTCTTCACTTTTATAAAAAAAAAAAACATATATATATATAAAAGTAAGGCAGTTATGTTAGATTGTATAAATACCAATTCAACTAAATGTTCCAATCAGGGACTGAACCCACAGTTCAAGCTTTAACCACTGATGTATCACAACATGCTCCGAGCGCAGACCTGGAGAAAGAAGATTCCACCATGTTGGAGAAAATCTCCTGGTTTTAGTCTATCTGTTCTGGTCCCCTCTGTCTGCTCCAGGGTTTGCTGGTTTGAAGGGTTTGCTGCAGCTATTCCTGTGCTTGAGCTCACGTCAAGTCAAGTGTTAGAGTGCCTATTTTTCTTTTTCTGTCGGCTGCTCCTTCCTCAGGGGTCGCAACAGCGAACTAACTCGCATGAAGACTTGGCGTTTGTTTTTACGCCCGATGTCTTTCCTGATGCAACCACAGACCACGAGCTACCACAGCCCTCTGTGTGGAGCAGAGAGATGACCTCTAGGATGACTGGGGGGAGCAGATAGTGGGGGTTAAGGGTCTTGCTCAAGGGCCCAGAGTGGGGCAATCAATCAGAATCAGAATAAGCTTTATCATCATTGCTGTACAGTCGTCCGAAAGATGGGCGGAGTGCACGTGGCTGCAGATCCTAGGAGCGCGGCCCCTTATCCTTTAGATAGAAAAGGGGAAAGACCACGAGGAAAGGATAGGGTACTCCACCAGTAAGCACATTTATAACACATTACATATGCATTTGACGACATGACGGTGAAATTTGTCCATGAAGCTCTTCCAGATAGCACCATAGTCCTGATAAGATGTTGGTGTTAGCTGGTACAGCTCTGATAAGTGTTCACAGAAGTTCTCGGTGGAGGGGCGGTTGCACGGTGGATGGATAAAGCAGAGCCTTCTTAGTTTACACATCCCCAGGAGCAATTTGATAAGTTGGCCTGCTTCAAGGTCGAACGGGGAAGTCAGATTCAGATAAGCCACAGTTGTTTTTTATTTCTCGTCAGCCTTGAGTTCTGCTGATACTTTCGTTATCCGAAATGGCCAGATTTGTGGGCTTTCCGCTGGTCCGTGCTTATAGCTTCCTCCAAGGTCGATCCCAACCTGCTGGTGCGTTCCAAAGCCGCAAGTGGCCTACGATTCTCATAAATCGCTTCCATCTTACGGCTGAGCTCGTAAGTCAGCTGAGTCTGAGAGCTCGAAGCACAAATTGATCCCTCACATAAGGTCGGCAGCTTTGCCACGACCGCCATCTTCCTTAACAGCCGATAGGTATCCGACGGTGTCAAAAAGCAAAAACCCTGCTGCTATCATAAATGCAATGATGTTCGGCATCCTCCTGAGACAACACAGAAAGGCCCTACATGACGTACCCTGCTGCGTGTGTCTCAGCGGTGCATGAGGGTTCTCCAGGACCCCGGCGCTTGGTAGAAAAATGTTTTTATCAATTGCGTTGAAAGTCCAGCTGACCAAATCCATGACAGTAATGTACGATTTGGAAGACGTGCAAATAGAAGCTCCGATACACAGAACAGAGAGCAACTGACGGAGAGGGAAGAAAAATCATCCGCCCATGGACCGCCACTTGTAATCACCCTTCCCAGTATATTTCCTCCGTTTTGTGGCTGAATCTTTGCTAACCTTCATCATCTTGTCAGTTTATCTGTTTAGTGTTCGTCTCAGGTGCGTTATTAGAAATCTAGTTTGTTTTTGAGAACTCCCTCCTACACTTTGATCCTGCTTCCGCTCACCATCCCCAACAGGCTTGTCTCATGGTTGGACATTAACAAATGGCTAGATTATAAGGATCGTTCACAATCCTGATTTCTGCCTCATAAGATGAGCAGTTTATCTGTAGATTAGTCTGGCTCCTGGATTAGCTGACAGGATTACATCCCCCTTAATGAATGAAAAATTAACAAAGATGATGAAACACAATTATAAAGGACTGCGGATAAATTATTCAGCTCTGAGACAAGAAGAGTTAGATGGAAGCTCATGACAATTAGGTGAACTAAATTACTGATATGTAAAAGTCATTTCAAAGCACATTAAAAAATGTCACATTTTTTTCCTTTAAACATTTTAACTAAAACTCTGAAATAAAACAAAAAATAAAACCGAAAAAAAAAAAGGCATTCTGAAAGTTGTCCTAAGAGGAACAATCACATTTCTTTACTTGAAATCTTTCACCTACATTTTCATCTGCTCCTTCGTTTCTGCAACAGCTGAGCTTTACCGTAAGTGAAAGATGTCATGGAATGGGATTATCTCAGAAGAAGAAGAAGAACAAGAAGACGAAAAACAACAAGAACAAGAAGAGCAAGAGCAACAACAAAGAACAAGAAGTAGAAGAACAACAATAAAGAAGAACAAAAAGAAAAACAACAAGAACAACAGCAACAACAACAAAGAAGAAGAAGAAGAACAACAACAACACCAAAGAAGAAGAAGAACAACAGCAATAAAGAAAAAAAGAAAAAGAACAACAACAATAAAGAACAAGAACAAAAACTGTCTGTCTGTCAAATTGTAGAGGAGCAGATGGATTACAAATCTAATCAGGCTACGTCTGCATTAATTAAGATGGACTGGCAGGAACTGGTGAGGCTAGAATAAAGATGACGCGATAATAAATGGCTCGCTATCAACTAAATGTGAACGGCAAAGGCAGACAATAATGTTTTTGTCAATATATTTTTGTGTGTCTGTTAACAAAATATCACGTGAACCACCAGATGAATTCTAATGAAATTTACAGATTGTAATCACTGGATGTACATCTACAACTGTTTAACTGTTGGAGTCATCCTAATCCAATATGGCTGCCACAGTCAACTCACTTTAGAAAACACAAAAATGGATCTAACTCTGTCTCTGTTTGATCTGGTAGTAGCTGAGACTGATCCCCTACAGATAATCTGAGTTCTAACCGAAGGAGCAAGATGTTTACTGAAAACCTTGACTTTCTCTGTTGGAGTCAAACTGTCTGTTAGTAAAATATCTCACAAACCACTGGGCAAATTTAATTGAAGCTTTCTGAAAGTAATCACTGGGTACACCTCTACTGCTGTTTAACTTTTGGAGTCAACCCAATTCAAGATGGCAGCGTCAGTCTACTGATCTTAGAAAACACAACATGGCTCTAATTCTGATCATTTCACAGATAGTGTGTCAAAATTAGTTGTGGTAGTAGCTGAGAGTCATTCACAACAAATAATCCAAGTGCAACTCAATAAATTTAAATTTTGCATAAAACGCGCACTGAGCGTTGAAGCCGCCCTTGTTTGTCTGTTAGCACAAAATCTCATGAACCACTGAACCAAATTCACTGAAACTTCCCAACAGTAATCACTGGATGCACAAGTATACTTTATTATCTACTGAAGTCACTGTGATTGAAAAAGGACGCCACAGCTTATCAAAACCAGCCAACACAAAAATGGCCATAACTCAGTCAGTTTTACAGACACTGAGCGAAAATTGTACGTGGTAGTAGCTGAGAGTCATCCCCAACACATATGAACATGACATCATGCCTTTCTCAACATTTTGATGATTTTAGTCCAAAACTCTGTCAAGAAATGCGGCGGGCGATGCGCACTCCAAGGAATTTTAGGCCTTTAAACAGCTGAAGAGAAGCGGTGCAGAAGGTTTTTACTAAAATGTGTTCTAAAAAGATTATGAAAGCAGAAGAAAAAAAGGGGGAGGGGGGCACCACATAATAGCAGATAAGAGGGATTCGCTAAACTTGAGGGGAGTGGGGTCTTCATCTGGTTAGAGAACCCCCACCCTCCTGCAAGGGGTTTATAGTCCACCACCCACATCGATGCAAATAAGCTGATTACACAGAGCAGGGTGGAGGGTGGGTCACCACATGTTGCCACGTTGTCTCCAGTCTTCCTTTCATTATTATTCGTTTAAGGTCCAAACTGCCACCAGGAGCTGTTCGCTTCATTTTTCCTGCACATTCCACAGAAAGTACCCCCCCCACACACACACACACACACACACACACACACACCTCCTGTCAAAAACAACTTGTCTATTATTAAAAGCTTTTAAATGGAGCAGCGTGTTGGCTGACTACCAAGTCCCTTCCCCTTGTTGCCAGGGAAACATACTCCTGCTCTCCGCTCGCTTTCTCTCTCTCCCTCTCTGTGTTTCCTCCTCCTCCTCCTCCTCCTCTTCCTCCCCCCGAGGCTCATATTTCAAAACCGTCAGCAATCTGTGTGCGCTCACACGGCCGCCTTTCAGCTAAAAGCTTTTTGTGCTCGCCCGTGCAGCAGAATGGAGGGCGAAAGAGAGCAGATAGGAGTGGTTAGTGGCAACACGGGAGGGGGGAATAAAGGGCCTCTCTCTCACCGTTGCCAGGGCAACTTGATGTCACTGTGACATCACGCAGTATTAAAAGCTTTTAACCGGATTCCTCGCCTGCCGTAGGCCCCATTTTGAGTCCTCTTTCAGCTAGGCTGGGGGGAAGGGCACGCAGGCGGGACGGTGGTGGCTTGTGTTCTCGCACATGTATCCCGTCCTCCCTGCAGTCTGACACCAGCTCCTTTAACTGTAAAAAGGCTTTCAAATTCCACCTCCAAAGGTCCTCTGCAAACACAGCCAGCACAAGGCCGAGCGAGGCGTTTTAGAAAGAGCAGCTAAACATGGCGTCTTACGATGGCTTCAGCTACCTGATGCCAGGCCACAACGAGAAACACAGGCGGGCCCCGAACTGGACCGACAGCGAAATGAAAGCCCTCCTGTACGTGTGGGAGGAGCACCACAACGAGCTGAAGACGAGCAAGAGGAACGCCAAGGTTTACGAGAAGATGTCCCAGAGGTTTTTCCAGCTGACCGGAGAGCAGCGCTTCAAGGAGGAGATCAAGATGAAGATCACCAACATGTCTTTCCAGTTCAGGCAAGTCCTTCAACAACCAAACCACCTGCCTCCATGATCCAGCTTTTGCATGATCGCTAATTTGAAAACTTTATTTTTCAGGCGAATGAAAGCGACAGCCGGCGAATCTACCGAGGCGCCTGATTGGCCTTATTACAACGCCATTGAGAAGATCCTGTCCAAGCCGTTGGAGAATGGCAGGGTGAACTCTCTGGAGTTTCAGGCTCCCGCTGCAGGTCCATCCACTTCGTCCCAGTCCACAGACAACCCCTTGTCCCAGTCGGAGGAAGGCGTGATGGGATTCCTGCCGGAGTACACGGGCTCCTCGGATGAGATGGAGATCAAACAGGAGCTGGACTCTCTGAGCTCCGACAGTGACCACACACTCGGCTCCAGGTAGTAGAACCTAAGACTGGAGCTGAATAAATTCAAACCAGTCCGTTCAATTTGGTTTTGTTTCCCCTGAATACTCAAAATGTCTGAACCTGGCCTTCACCAGACGCTACTAACAAACGTTCCGCCTCCGTTCCTCAGCTCCCGCCCCATCTCGTCCAGGAAGAGGCGTGCCAGAAAGTACCTGTCCCTGAAGAGGAGGAAGCTGCAGATGATGAGCGACTTGCTGAAGCAGCAGAGGAAGTCGACCCGGGCCATGGAGGAGACGTGCAGGGAGGTCCGCCGATCCTTGCACCAACAGAACCTCCTCCAGGTCCAGTGTCTGCAACTGCAGGAGAGGATGATGAACCTCCTGGAGAAGATGATTCAGCTTCCCGCCTCCACGTCATCGATTTGGAGTCAAAGCGGGGCCAAGGAACCTGCGAAACCTTGAACAGTGGAAAGATGTGCATTCTCTGGAAGAAAGCGTATTCCTCCAGTTATGTCTTTTTTATTTAGAATTTTACCTCGATAGCAAAAACTTTCAAGACCTGTTGTGTTTAAAAAATGACACAGTAACTGTTATGAGATCATAGATGGTTAAGACATGCACTAAAATATGCTTTGACCATCTATGGAGGCTGCCTGAACATCATTAATATGGTACAATACTTGTAAATAGCATCAACTGTTAGACTCTGATGTCAGGTTTTAGTTAATACTAGCTAAACAAAAGTTTTCTTCATAACTTGCCAAGTACCTCAATAAAATCACTGAAACTGCTTTTTGAAATCACGTCTTTTTTATTTTTATTTTGCCTTTTATTTACATGTTGGGGACACTTTGTGTCAAACATGACAAATGAGAAATTTAAGTATTCACAGTGGGAAAAAGTAGGCAACAAAACTGACGTAACCTGAGTCGAATGTAAGGGAAAATTATATTTTATCTTTAAAAAAATGAGTCAAAATTATAGTGTCAACCTTGATTTGTTAACAGTACACCGATTAAAAGAGAGAGTGCAATTAAAGAACAAAATATAAATTAAAGAGAACATTTGAAGTGCAACTGATTGGTTTGAAATAAACAGTGTTCTAAAGTTTACTTCACTTTTTATTTTTATTAATTAAACATGTTTTTTTCTGTTTTATCCACAAAACCATAGATTGACACTTAGTATAGATAGTCTAATGTTGTAAATCAAAACATTTTACACAAGTTATCTTTGTATAAAGTCTGAATAAATGTCTCAATGATTTTCTGCTAACTTTCTTTTCTCTTCCAACAAAGTTAAGTCAGGTCCTCTGGACGGTTTCTGTTTTGTTGTTGAAACGTTCCGTCCTTTATCCAAAGGGCTTCATCAGTCCGAGGAGCCACAACAAACACAGTCCCATAAGTGGCTTACTCACACAGCGGGCCCTTCCAGTTTTATGGTGGTTTCTGGAGTTCGCCCTCTCCCCCGTTGACTCCTCTGAGGCAGCCATAGCCAAAGAGGTTCTGAATATCAAAGTTCATGCTCAATAATCCAGGTAAAAAAAAATCCAACAAAGTTAAGTCAGATCCTCTGGATGGGTTCTTTCTTTTTTTTGGTGAAATGTTTTGTCCTTCATACATCAGTCTGAGGAGCAACAACAAAACTGGTTATCAGCCATAACACTGATAATGATCTTATCACCATAAAACTTGTTGGCCCACTATGTGGGTATATCACTTACGGGACTGTTTGTTGTGGCTCCTCGGACTGAGGAAGTCCTTTGGATGAAGGGGGAAAAAAATCACTGTAATGCCACTTTAATTAGTGACATGTGACTTATCTGTGCTGCTGATTATCCATGCTGCTGATCTCACGCTGCTGATTATCTCATACTGCTTTATTCATTCATATCCTTCTGCTCACCACAGACTCATGTTCGGGCTGCTGTTGATATGCAGTATTGTTTTACATTATTAGTGTTTAGCGTCTATCTTAGCTCTTTTAGTGTACCATTTGGCATTCGTTTAGCTTTTATCTTAGTGTATATCTTAGATCCTTATATACTGTTTCTTTTTATACTTTATGTTTTTGATATTTTTGGGTGTAACTAGGACCCTGAGTGCATAATTTCATTCCACCTCATGTACCACATGTGATGCGAATGATAATAAACTTGACTTGAATTGAACTTGAAAAATGATGTTAAAGAATAATTATTCAGGCTATCAGAAGTTTTTTTTATATTTTTATACTTGGGCTGTTTTGTCACTCATTTTCAACCAAGCAGCCTATAGTACCTCACTATTTTCAGAGGCTCATTTCTTTCTTTAGCTAGTAATTAGCTAAAGTTATTAGCTAGCCAGTAACTTTAGATAGTCAATATAACAGTTGTTGAAAATAAAATTTACTAGCTTTCTCATAACTGAATAATCTTACAAGCTGGTAACTTTAGCTAGTTAGCTACAGTGACACGTGGCTAATATTAAAGTTACTTGCTAGCTAATTACTAACTAATGTTAAAAGCTAGCTAGTAACTAAAGTTAATTAATAGTTAGCTGTAATACACCAAAGAATAGTAATAAGGTATTGTGTTGGTTAATTAATAATAGGCCTATAGCAATTGTATGTATTGAAGCAGTTGAACATTGTGGGAGTTTTGGAATTATAGATTGCAAATCGTATAGAGGGCAAAATTATCATTTAAATACAATAATGATCATATCTATCAGCACTTAACATTTAGCTCCTTAGCAAAATACTGTTTAAAAATACAAGTAATGGTTAATTTGCATTTAATACTACTGAAGTCCCTTTATTGCAAGGGTTACGTTCCAGACACCATTGCGATAGGTGAAAAACCGCCAAGTAGGAACACTATATTTATTTTATTATTTATATATATTTTGACTTTATAAAACATTCCCACACTCCTGCAATGTTCTTAATAATGTTCTAAACTCTTAAACCTATGTAATTTTAACAACATATGTATAAAGGTTGAATGAAATGTACTGTACAGTACTGTAACGTTTTATATGGGTACTCACCAGTGAAGATACTACAACTTGAAGGACGAGTTCAGCTTCAGGATTATTTGCGATTTTCCTGCTAATTCTGTGATCTTGATAGAGCGTTAATTCTGGCTTTACATTGCAAAACTATTTTTTACCACATCGGTTTCTCCGTTAGTATTTGCTACATCCATTGCTGTTTTTTAAATTTTGGCAGAAAGCAGTGGCCGGAAGCACTGTTGGCTTCTGGGCCATGTAGTTCTTTTGACTTGCGTTACAGTAGGCTTACTGAACGAAAACTACGAAATGGCGGCGACTGTCCGAAGTAGTTTTATTTTTTTTTGTCCTATTGGTTGGTTCTCTCTCCCGTTAACTTTTTATATGGTACCGTCCCAATCACGTGAGTAATATTAAAGTTGACAATAGTGTGTCATGTACAATCTTATGTTGAAAACCAGCGAAAGAGTGAATCCGCGAAAGTCGAACCGCATTATGCAGAGTAGGCACAGTTCAGCTAATTTGTTAACAGCTAATACTGGAACACATTTTTCATTCAATTCAATTCAAAAATACTTTATTAATCCCAAAAGGAAATTATTTGTTGTTGTAACTCGTTATCCTCATTTTATCAAGAGATGTTATAGATACTGATGGCTGTAGACAGGAAGGATCTCTTGTAAAAGGTCCATCCCACAGTGGATCCTAAGAAACTGGCCGCAGAAACCGTCTGATCCGTCCACCCAGACTCGGTTCCCCCGGGCTGTAGGACCACCAGAATGCTGGGCAGAACTCCTCCCAGAGCGATGGCCACTCCTCCCAGCAGTTTGCCGAGCTCCTCATTGCTGCGGACAGCTAACTTTAGGTGCCGAGGGACGATCCTGTCCTTCCGCTGTCATGAGCCGTGTTTCCTGCTAGTTCCAGGTTCTCAGTGGTCAGGCACTCAAGCACAGCTGGCAGGTAGATGAGAATGCATCCACAGAACATCCTTTCAACTCATTTGAGATTTGGGGCTGTAGTTGAGATATTATTTGAGCTTTTGAGATGTTAATCAGCTGCTGTTGGTTGTAGAAAACTGCCTTGTTGCCATGGTTACGCATCATAACAAATGTCCAAAACTAAAAATGTTTCAGTAAAAATCCTTCCAGCTGCACAGCATCTGATACCAGACGAAACAATCATCCAAAAAATGTGATTTACATCCAGAAAAACAGGAATTAAAGTTTCCAAAAGCAAAATCTCAGAATGAAATTAACAGAGCTGCTCCAACATGCAGCCACCTTGAGCGGCGCAATTCTAGAACTTTAAAATTTAGCGGATTAGCATTTTCGCTAACTTTGGTAACCGATATCGGCGTTAGCTTCCGCTAAATTATGGTTCACCAACTTTAAGTCCGCTAACAAAATTCACAAGGTTATTCCTGTCTATTGTCCAGGGCGTGTCTTAAAGAGTCCGTTAGGCGCGCTAACATGTGACAAGACATGATTGGTCGACGCAGCTGTAAAGAAAGACCTGTGACGCAGACTGGGACAGTCATCTAAGCAGTTAGCGGTTTAGCATTATTTTTCTGCTATTTTTTTTTAAAAACTTGATTAGTGATTTAGCAATAGCAAAACAATTTTTTTTGTTAGCGGAATATAGGTTAGCAAAGCTACCATTTTGGTTAGCTGTTCCCACCACTGACTGTATATTAATTCAAATTTTAAAAGTCAGATTTTGTTGTTATAACCCCCCGCAGTTTTACCTGAGGTCCTGAAATGCAACACAAGCCTCCCTTTATTGGGCCTATTTTAAAAGGAAATAATAAAAAGGATTAGGGCCACAAAGATTTATTTATTTTCTCTTCGAATTTTAACTTCTTTCTCAGAATTCTGAGGTTAAAGTGAGAATTTTGAGTAAAATAAATAACAGCGTTCTGAAAAAAAAAACCATGTTTTCACCACAGAGCTACTCCTCTGTAGAACATTCATAGTTAAACCATTTAAATAGTTACAACAATCGCAGTGTAGGGTCATCCTTTCTAAAAACAACAAAGCAAATATATTTTTAATCTCCGTGACATATGGGCACAAGCACACACAAAACAATAAACAAAGCTAAACAAACTGTCATTTTGTTATTTGACAATCAATTACCCAGTTGTCACAGTGCAAGTGACCAGTAACCCACCCTTCTTTTGGTAAATGTTTAAACTCGTGTAGTAAAGCTGTGTGCACCCGTTACAGCCCTTTGACCACATTGTTATTGTTTTCAAGCCGTATCAATGTGGAACAGACCCACATGGTAAGTGAATTCAGTGAAACTTTTAAAACCAAGCAAGATGCATTTCTAAAATTGTTGCAGAATCCCATTGTTTTTATGTTTTATACGTCAGAATGTACAAAATATCACCTTGGGGTTATGTTGTAATGAGCATGAACTTTGTTGATCACCTTGGGGTATTTATTTGGGGTTAACCAGGTTTACGGTGAGGTTCAAATCGATAAATTTTTAACTTCAGTGCTTCTGTTTTTCTCTGCCTTTTGTTTTGCTCTCAACTGGGTAAAATTTAAAAGGTCGAACGAACGTGTTTTAAATTTGACCCAGTTCGGAGCACAATAAAAGGCGCACAACAGCCACCTGTCTCAGCCAATCAGCGTCAACGCGAGCGTTTGAATATCAAACTAGACAAGCGCGCTGATTGGTCAAAAGACGGGTCACGTGGCTGGGAGACGTTACGCTGTCATGGTAACCGTCAATGAAAGACGCTTTGTGATTTTACCCCGACGAAGAGGAGGAGGTGTCCTCGCTGCCATATGGACAACCGAATCACGGCAAGGATTTGAAATAACACCGAGTGAATAATGTAAAACAAAAACTAAGACGTAAAGTGTAAAAACATGTGAACGTGTCGCGGTTTTTTTTTTTAAAGGAGAGCTTATTTTGGGAGTTTTTCCGACACTTTTCAACTCTTTACAGGTAATTTCCCTGTCGTTCGAACTGCGAAGTTAACTATCGTTACTGTGAGGAAAAGAACAGCAGCAGCTACGTCTCTGCAGGGAAATATTTTTTCTTGAAAATGTCAACTTTTGAGGCAACTTGGGTTATTTTTAAACAACGGCTGACCGAAACCAAAACGCCTGGTTTTCATTAAGAGCAGAGAGGAGCTGGCTCTTTGCTTTGTGGGTGAGAACAAGCTGTGTTTGGACTTCAGGCTTCCTCTCGCTTTTTCACAGGTTGATGCCAGTGTAATTTAATTATTATATGCTTTTATAATGAAAGTATTGTGAAATGGAGCTAAAAACACATCATTATACCTTTCTGGTAGTTTTAAACTGCCATTTGGCAACAGATACATTTATTTAATAAATTTAGGCTAATGTAAATTAAGTAATTCATGCATTTAAATCTGGATTAAACCACACTGTGGTGGTTTCCAAACTGTGGGTCGGGGTCCTGCTGTGGGTCGTGAAGCACCAAGTGGAGGGTCTTAAAGACATTTGCCAAAATCAAATAAGACTAGAAAAATTGCATTTCCTGTGAAAATACAGCATGAATGCTTATTGCAGAAGAACTTGCTGAAAAACAGCTGAAATTAGTTTTTTTAAAATGTACTGTAGCTGAAAGGAAAGAACAAGACAAAAAAATTAGCAGAATAAAGCAGAAAGAAGACACATTTGCTGAATTAGGTTTAAATAAGCAGAAAAGAGCAAAACAATTAGGAACATTTCCAAGAAATAGCTGAAAAGTAGCTGAAAAGGACAAAAAGAAGCTTAACCTACCAGAAAGAAGTGGAAAGAGCTGAAATGAGCTAAAAAGAAAAAAAAGTAGAATTAGTTGAAAATCCAATAATTTTCAGTCAGGTCATCTGGACAGTTTCTTTTTTTGCTGAAATGTTTCACCTTCCATCCAGAAGGCTTCATCATATGGCTTCATATGAAGCCTTCCGGATGGAAGGTGAAACATTTCAGCTAAAAAAGAAAGTGTCCAGATGACCTGACTGAAAATTGTTGGATTGTATACCTGGATTATTGAGCATGGACATTATTTTTTTTTAATTAGTTGAAAAGGTTAAAATTAGCAGCAAAAGAGCTAAACAGTAGCTGAAAGAGCAGAAAAAAGCTGAAACTAGCAGAAAAAAGCTGAAACTAGCAGAAAAAAGCTGAAAGGAGTTCAACAAGTTAATTAGGTTGAAAGTAGCAGAAATTACCACAAAAACTTGAATTTATCTGAAATCATGAAATGAGCTAAAAATAGCTGAAAATTTAGTACAAGCTTAAATTATCAGAAGAAAGCAGAAATAACACAGGTTGGCCCAATTAGGCTGAAAGAAGCAGAAATTTCATTTAATTAATTAAATAATTTAAATTAGGACAATGCATATTAATCAACGTGTCAGCGGTAAGCATCAATGTAAATATGCCGGAGTTAGCACAACAGCTAATTTTCATCCGTTGTCCTAAGGCAGGTAAGAACAAGAAACTTCCCACAAAACAAAGAGCAGAACATAATACAAACATCACCTATATAACACATAACACAACATGAAATTACAATAAAGGTATGACGCCATAACAAAACAGACAAACTACATATGAGTGCACCTCTGGTTAGTTTTCAGCCAATGTTTCAAAGAGATTTTAAAGCTGAAGTAGGTGCCGCAGTTCCTGATAGAAACTGGCAGTGTGTGCAAATGAGCACAAAACATGGAAATTGTCTGGAAAAAAGCAGAAATTAGAAAAATAAAACAGCTGAAAAGAAGCTAACAAAGCAGAAAGAAGCTTAAATTAGCTAGAAGTGGAAGAAGCACATTTTTGCTGCATTAGGTTAAAAAAAGTAGAAATTGATGCAAAAAAAAAGTGGAATTACCGTTAGCTGAAAAAGCTAAAATTAGCATAAAATAGCTAAAGATTAGCTTAATTAGCAGAAAAAGATGAAACACAAAAATAAGCTGAAATGAGCAAACAAGCTGAAATTTGTAGAAAGAATTTAGAAAAAGCAGAAAAATGTTGAAAGGAACGCAAAACAGCTGAAAGTAGCTGAAAGAAGCTGAAGCAGAACAAAATGTGAAAGGAGCAGTAAAAGGTTGTAAACACATCTAAAGATATGAAGGATGGAAAATGAGCTCAGTTTATTTTCTATGAGGAAAAAATGGCAGAAAAGGCTAAATGTTTCAAAAAGCTAAAGTTGCACCAATACCAAAAGTCAAAGCACCTTCTCCTGAACGAGCTGAACGTCTTGATGTACGATTTGTTGAAATGGCACAAAAATTGTGAAACGAGAAAGATGCTGAATTACGTACGGAAGAAAAATGGATCACAAAAGTGTGAAAGCTTCATAAACGGACTATTCCATAAATAAATGCTTGGAACCTACGCCTTTTTATGTGCGAGACCAGGACCATCTTCTCTTGAGAAACAATGACTTCATAGTCGTTTTGGTCAAACCTTGTGAGAACTTTTCAGGCAATCTTATCCGACATGTTGCGCGATCTCATATGACCTGTTAGCAGTTTCAGTTGGGAATGACTTTCAGCTACGGTCACGTCAAATTTTAGCTCAGCATCTGTAAGATAGGTGTAGCTGTTGTTGAGAAGGCTAATGTTCAATAGCTGTGGCGGACATTTTGAATTAAGTTGATTCCACAAGTTAACCGGTTGTAGATGTACAGTACAGCCAAGTCAGTAATATTTATCCAGTGGTTCATTAAATATTTTGCTAACAATGCACTCATTCACTGTCGTAGTTATCATTTAATGTTATAAAGCCATAAAAATGTAAGTTAGAAATTGATTTTTAAAAAAGGGTAATGTGGCTCATGGTTAAGAGGCTGTTTAGCCTTTAAGGGTTGAAAGCTGAAAAGTTTGGGAACCACAACATAAAATACTTTTAAATCTTTTGCGAAACACAATAGTCTGTGTATTCTGTCTTCAGTTCTTTAAATTGCCTTTTTATTTTTTTATTTCTCTTGTTTTTCTTCTTCCTTTAAAGGTCGGATGACAACAACACAGTAGTGTTGGCAATCTGCAAGTTTTTCCAGTTCCCTCACGCTGGGCCTCACATCCACCTGTGACTAACATGAGGATACAAGGGCAACCCGAGAGCGTCAGGAGGCGCCTGGATTTAAGTGCTGCCGCGGAGCTCAGGGGTGTGGAGATCATCCGTGGCCGGGCCGGATATGGATTCACAATTTCCGGACAGAAACCGTGCCTGCTGAGCGGCATCATGGAGGGGAGTCCTGCCCATGTGGTGGGTCTCAGACAAGGTGATTGCATCATGGCCATCAATGGAACAGACGTGTCCACCGCGTCGCATGAATCCGTGGTACAGCTGGTCGGCAGCTGCACAGGACCCTTGCGCTTGGTTGTGCTGGCCGAGCGCCGCATCATGGGAAACCCCATCCTTAACGATGCAAAGTTTGGCTTTGTGCAGAAAAGTGACGTTTTCAAAAAGCCGAGTGTTCTCCGAACTATATCGGACGATTCAAGCAATTCTTCCTTTAACGCTAATCATGCAGCCAGTACCAAACAGAGACCCATTTCAGAGCCTGACATGTCCCAGTGGACACAACAGTGGGGTGTTTTAGCGGAACAAACAAAGAAGACATCCACAGATTCTTTCCACGTTGTTTCCACACACACAGAGGAAGCTAAGCCGCACTGGGCTATTTTAAATATGACATTAGTGGTCGGCTACTTGAGCTCTACAGAGTTGATTTTGAACTCTAACGATTCGGAGGATGACTGTTTAAAAGCCATTCGGGAAAGGATCCGACAGCTGGGTACCGAGCAGGACACCCATACTCTGGTCATGATGAAGGTCATGTTTGACTGCATCAGACTGTGTGACGATGCGGGAGCCGTTATGGCTGCCTTCCCTGCTGAGAACCTTGTTTTAGGAGCTGTGTGCGCTGAAGACCCACGTTTCTTTTGCCTGGTTACCACAGCACATATTATTAATGGCCGTGTACTAGAAGAAGGTCCTCTGCGGGCCTCTTGCCACGTATTCTTTATTGACCCGGAACTGGGAAATCACGAGGACCACAAAGGGATTGCTGGCCGCTTTGGCTTTGATTGCACCCCAGATCCAGATGCCTTTGGCTGTCTGGAGTTCCCTCAGACTCCCCTAGACGTCCTTCACTTTGTAACGGTCCTGTACAGTGACCTGGGGGAGACGGTGGAAAGGCTCAGAGTCAAACTGGACTCAGAGACTCAGCAGCAAGCGAAGGAGAGTGACACCACTAGCAAACAGGGCAGTGCCAGCAGCAATGAAGACAGTGGTTTTGGAAATGCTTCTCCCCCTGAGGAGAGAGCCGACAGGGATTTCCCTCCTGAAACCCACAACCTTTCTGGGGCCCACCTCCCCAGTTGCCCGTGGGATTACCCTCCAGCTGAAGACTTCACCCCAATGAAACTCTTCAGGGGTGGCCAAATAGTAAATCCGGAACACTTTTCCAGCACACATTCTCTTTCAGAGTCTCTACCTGGCCCAGATTCTTTAACCAGCTTCTATGGAGGTCCCCCGCCTAGGCTAAAGTTCCGGTTTAAGCCCCCACCCCCTCCTATACCGTTGGCTAAAAAAACAAACTTTTTGGCAGATCCTCTAAGAAGTAGCCAAAGGTGGTTCTCGAAACCAAAATGGGCTAAAGGCCCACCTCAAGTGACATCCACAAATAAGTGGTCCTCAGACACCAGCGCTGCCACACATAACCCACCCCCTCCAACGAGTCAGATACCCTTAGACGGGTACCAGTCCAAAGAGGCCATGATGCCCCCCAGAGAAGAGTGGACCAAAAGGTTTCTCGAACAAAGACAGAAACAACAGACTGATGGCAGCGGCAAAAGTGTAAGTGTTTTATTTTTCCGTGTTTCAGTGCTGGAGTCCAAACAAGTGGATTTAAAAGATCTTATATGTTAATTAACAGTTTAATAAACCTTTTGTCCCGAGTAAATACCAGTAAATCTGTTGTAACTAGCTTGATGTGACTTCAGATGTTCTGTCCTCTGTCCATGTGTTGAATGGCTTGATTGCAACTGTACTTTTTGTCGCAGCAGCACAAAACAACTAAATCTTTAGTGTGTTGAGATTCTATGGGACACATTTAGTAAAGTTTAGTGCATTGTACTCTGAAAGTATCTTCATAAAAAAAACCCAATGTGTTTGTGTTGGTTTCTTCTCTGTCCACAAGATGTCCCCACGCATCCACCTAGTTCCGGAAAGGAGGTCCTCTCAGGAAATCAGTAATGTGTATTTGAAGTATTTGCTTTCTCTCCGCTCCACAGAGGGCTCCAATTAGACTCTGTCGACAAAACGTGTGATTGCAAAGTATGGGAACAAGCCGTGGGTGTTGGATAAAATTTGGACTAAAAATACGATGCTTTTCAGCTCCCATATGCTTCATTTGTTCTTGTATTTTTCTGTTTCCATCTCAGAGCAGGGCTGTGCATTTGTTCTCAAGCTTGCTTTAGATCAGAAAGACGACTATCTTAGACAGGAAGTCGGGGGAAATTGCAGGGTAGAGCCCATGTCATACATTGGTAATTATCTGCAATTCCTTAAACTCTTTGTTTTAAACTCTGGGCTCAGCCTCTGGGATGTGAGAGCAGAGGTAGCAGAAAGTATCTTTTCTTCATTGTTCAGTCTGACAGAGGATGGTGGAACCATAAAGAGTGGAACCCTTAGGAAAGAATCCTTACAAGTAAAGTTGAGCATTTTCAGTCCTTAACAAATTGGCTTTGCTTCTAATCTTAAGCATACGCTTAAAATTTGATGTTCTATTCAGACTTCACAAGAGACGATTAAAGACACCAGCAGATTAAAACAAATCTCAACACATTGAGTTTTATGCCTAATTTAAGCAGTTTAAAAAAAAAAAAAAAAAAGCTTTAGACTTGACCAGGTCTTCGTGTACTGATATTAGTTCATCGGTGTTGAACTGAGTGAGAAGAACACAAACCGTACAGTCAAGATATTAATAAAGCTGTCAGTTCTACCAGCATCCATGTTTGCTTTCTTTTCTTTTCCAAAGGGATCCAGGTTCTGGGGTATGGGTGTTGTTCGCGCGTCCAAGCGTCGTTCTGCCAAACGTCTCAGCATGGCTCGGTCCCTGGATGATCTCGAGGTAGGCATCGAGTTCTTTATTTGTAAGCACTTTAAATGAGATCTAACTGATATAACTTTTAGATTCAACTCAAGTTAAGATGGTTGTTATGGTTTATTTTTCATTCATCCTTTATTTAGACGGGTTAATCCCATTGAGCCTCGGGGACTCATTTACAAGAGACACCTGATTGGAGTCCTTTGTATAGCTCTTGAGCTGTAGTGTGGTGGTAGCTGAGAGTGATCCAAGACAAATTCTCAGAGTGATGCCAGTTTGCAGGGGATCTATGACTCATGCAAGGTTCAAGGTTCCTTATTGTCATTCGCGTCACGTGGTGCATGAGGTGGATTGAAACTGTGTACTCAAGGTCCCAGTTACACCCAAAAATAGCAAAAATATAAAGTAAAAAAAGGAACGGTGTACAAATATCTAAGATACAGTATATGCTAATGTAAAATAATACAGTATATTAAACAGCAGGTGATGGGATATGTGTATTTCTTCCAGGAACACTTGGCCTTTACTTTCGTTTTTTATGTCCAAAAACCTCTCAGTCTTAACTTTCACCACTATTAGGACTGTTAGCAGAAAGATTGCTGTATCGCCTGAACCATCCCCCTTACTGGTTTCTGCTCTACGTCCCAACTCCTTTTTTTCCAAAATTTTTCCTGTTCGTTGCCTTGAACTTTGTTTGCCGCTGCACTCGTGGTGGTGACTTTCACCTGGCTCGCACAAAGACCACTTTGTGCGAGCCAGGAGCACAGACCTCGTCTCACTAATGAGGACCGGCCCGTTCTGAATATTGTACGCACACTCACATTCGCGTCACTCAAGAATGCTCTTTCAGCAGCTGCCTCGACGTGAATGCGTTACTCTCTTGCACGTTGATTCAAGGAGCTCACACAAATGAATACCGCACATTTTCACTCTGAACGAGGCAGGCCACAAATCTGCAGCTCCACAGTTTGAGCTGCTTCAAATGTGCATAATAAAGGGCTGGAGAGTTTCTGTTCGTACACCTCTCATCATGCATTTCTTTTTATTAGCGCATTACCGTCCTAACTTCCAGTCACAATCATTTCGCTGCATGTTCATATAGTAAGAAAACTTTGGGTGTGTTATCAGAGACGAACCCATCGCTCATCAGTCGACCAGAATTACCGTATTTTTTGGACTACAAGGCGCACTTAAAATCCTTAGGTATTAATTCTGGTTGTGCTTACTGACTTCGAACTGATTTTATGTGGTTATTGTGAATGGGTTGAACAAAGTTTGACTTATCTGACTGTTTTGTTTCGCTTAATGCACATTATAGTCCGAAAAATACGGTATCCGGTTTATCTGCTTGACTGGTGATGAGCAGGTAAAAAAAAAAAAATCCAGTTTTTATTTTATTTTTTTATTTTTCCTGGTTTGTGACGCTCACCATAGCCAAGGGGTTAACGTGCTCATGGTAATCCATCCTCATCGCGAAAGCCTTTCAGGGACGGAGAGCCCGGTATCATATGAAGAACGCTGCCGATCGTCCTCGTCCTCTGTGCCCAGGTGCTGGTTCTGACAATAAAACTCAACGGACACGTTCCTCGTAGACATGGTGGCCATGTTTCTGACCAGTACAGGAGAACTCTTTCAACAGTTGCCATAAAGATTTATTACCTTTAGTTTCCTTGAGAGTGACGAACACCTGATTTGATCAAATTTGACAATTTCTGACGAAGCCTGAACTCTTTGTTCCTTCTCTGTTTACTTTTAAGATGTTTCAAATAAAGTCAGAAGCACAAGCTAATAAAAGAAACTGATTTTTTTATTTTTAAAGGCTTTTCATACAAGCTGAGGCTTGTCTTAAAAGAACGGGGACATTTGTAAGTCCAACTTACATTTTAAATAATTAGTGAAATTTGCAATCAATTGCAATGTAAATAAAGATTAAAAGGTTATATATATGTATGAGACAGGAATTTGCCATTATCTACTTATAATTAGATATTGACTGATGTAACAAAATTTCTCACTAATCAGATTTCTTTTTATTCCTTTCCTCGGGAATTCATATAAAAAAAAAAAAAACATTTGTCATGTTTTTTTTAAATGCACTTTTATGTTTTGAGGTGTGCAACAACTATTATGATAAAGTTAAGGAGCTTGATTCTTTATAAATGAGATAAACTAGATTTAATTTCTGGTGATTTTAATTGTGCTTATTCTTTTGTCCAGGAAGCTGGAGCGTAGGGACAATTAGAGTTCGCAATTAGTCTCACTGTTAGACTAACGACCAAAAACATACACCGTATGTTTTTGGTCTGTGGGAGGAAACAGGAGTACCCAGAGTAAACCCACACATTCACGGAGAGAACATGCAAACTCCACCCAGAAAGGCCCCAGGCAAGGCTTAATTTGTAAACTGATCGATGCTGGAATGCAAATAGTGAGTGGGCTGGCAGGCGGGCGCTGGGTGGAGGGTCTGGGGGTCCTCCCCCATAAAATTTGGAATAAAGTAGATGCAATTTCCTGCATTTTGGTGCATTTTAACAGTTTGTTAAACATCTACGTTTACTTATATTTGTCTACACTCTGTTTCTGCACTCCGCTTCTGTCAGGCTCCCCCCCCCCACACTTTACTTAATGCTTCAGAGCCTGACACTGTCCCTGCTCGTTGTTGTCCGACTCCACGTGTGAAACCTCCATGCGCCTGCCTGTATACGACTGCGTTGTTAGCTCGGTACTCACGCCCACCACTCTTAGTGACGGAGATTTTTTAAGGGCAGCCGCGAAAATGCTACTTGACGAGGCAGCTCGCATGCTCGTAAGTGACTGTTGTGTTTAAAATGAGTGTTTATGTAATTATTTTCTGTTTACATATACAAAACAAGTTTTATTCATTCAAGGCAGTCATATTAGTTCATATCTTTATTATTAGTAAGCCTGAGAGTTACTGGATCCAAGCAAACAGTTACTGGAACGCATCCTGTCAAAATAAGAGCGTTCCCAGATCCTGTTCCGACAGGATCCGGCTCCAATGCACTGGCCCTGGGCTGGGATCTGAACTGGCGACCTTCTCGCGGAGAGGCAGCAACTCTACCAACTGAGCCACCGTTAACTTGTAGTTCTTAGGAAAATCAACCAAGAACAGACTCGGCAAGTCAGAAAACGTTTATCACGGGGTTTAGGGGACCACGCCCCCCACGATAAGTGCAAAACTATGAAGTATGTATACAGTAGTTCAAGTTCAAGTTAACTTTATTATCATTACGGAATGAAATTATGTACACAAGTAGTAGTAGTTTGTTTTGGTATTTATATATTAAGGCTTTATAAACCCTGCCCCACTCTTGCTATATTCTAAACAATGTTTCTAAACGCTCTTAAAGAGCACAGAATGTCATGATCTCCACTCTGGCAGGCTGCAATCACACTCATCACCAGTTTCACTCCCAGTCTCCCTCCATAAATAAACCGTTTAAATTAAGTACTGCAATATTTGTAATAAACAATCCATGCAGCATGGATTGTTTATTACAAATGTTAGAGAAGAGAAGCGCAGCAGGACAACAAAGGGTTAACGCTTCACACAGCTGATGCAGCACGGAGCAGAAATGTTCTTCTTGATCAGTAACAACTGAACAAGTTCTAAAATGGTTAAAAATAAGTTTTAATATATTCTGTGATTATGACAATTTTACGATGTGACTTTTGAATTTTAAGTTGGAAGACGAACGTTGATCGGCGCAGCTGGACAGCAAAGGGTTAACCCTTCAGGAAGCTGCCGCAGGAGAAATGTGGGCGTGGCCGAGAGCGACGTTATCACGACCGAGGGAGCTTCTTCCTGCGCCTAATGATGTAACGGGTGCTAAATAATTTTAAACAATTTATTTTAAATAAACAATCCATGCCGCTCGTGTGGCTCATCCATCAATCAGCCAGTTGTGCGTCATGTCCACTCTTACTTTGAAAAACCGCGAAAGAGCGAGTCCGCGAAAGTCGAACCGCGACGTTGCGACATCAGCAAACAAATAATTGTTTTAGTTGGTTCTCTCGTTAAATTCTTGTTAAAGTTCTCATGTGCACGCTCCCGTGGGGACGCATAATTGATAAACATACAACGTATTTATGTATTTTTCCACTTTATTAGACATTCTTGGACTGATGCAACTTATACGGCGGTGCGACGTGTACGGCGGCGTGTACGGCGGCGAGTACGGTACTTTAAATAAATGACTTTTTATAAAAAATATAACATTTACACAGTTGGGTTTAGCGTTTTGGAAAATACAAGTTTTAAATGTTTGTGGTAGATGTCTCGCTGCAAACTGCTGTTTGTGTCTGCAGAGACGTCGAGGCTGCAGTTTCAGGAGAACTGCAAACGCTTCATCTGATTTTCACAAATTGTTTATATCGCAGCACTTCCAGCGTCGGTTCCAATCTGATCCTGGAATGTTGAGCCTTGTTTGATCCACAAGTGAAAAGAAAAACAAATCTTATCGGTATCATCAACTAGACAAACTGCATTTCCTCTGAAAATGCAGTTTGAACAATTATGAAGCATTTACACTACTGTGATCCATTTCTCTTCTGTACATATTTCGGCATGTTCCTCATCGCACTATTTTTGCACTCTTTCAACAAATCTTAGTCTTTTCTGCCACTTTTAATCTTTAGATCTGGTTACAATCTTTTATTGCTCCTTTCACATTTTGTTCTGGTTCGGCTTCTTTCAGCTTCTTTGTACAAATTTAAACTTTGTTCAGCTACTTTCATCTGTTTTGTGCTCCTTTCAGATTCTTTCGGCCAGTTTCAGCTCGTTATGCTCTGTTCAGCTTATATATGCAAGTTTCAGACTTTAATGCTATTTCAGCTACTATTTAGCTGTTTTATGCTAATTTAAGCTTTTTTTTGGCTAATTCCACAGTTTTTGCACTAATTTCAACTTTTTTCAGCCTAATTGAGCAAAAATCTGCTCTCTCCATTTCCTTCTGGTAATTTAAGCTTCTTTCTGCCTTTTTAGCTACTTTCCATCTGTTTAT